TTGCAAAATCCATAGGAAAAGCATGGTTTCCCAGGAAGGGTCATGCAGTTATTAACCACCTCCTTTGGCTGGGGGTGGGGGTTCCCCTGGCTCTTTGCCACTCATGGGTGGACCATCACCCCACCCTGCTTTTCCTCACTCTCCCTGGGTTGAGCCATCCTCCTAGTCAGTCCCAATGTGAGAACCTAGATACCTCAGGTGCAGAATTCACTCACCGTTTTGTGAGAGCCATAGATTGCAGTTGCTTCTAATCAGCCATCTCGACCCCTCTCATGTTCACTTTTCTATTGAGATGTTCATCTTTTGCTTACTGATCTGTAAAAACTTTCCATGTATGAATATCAGTTTCGTCTGCCATATAGGCTGTTAATACTATTGCCAGTTTGAGTTTAGTTTGGTTTATGTGGTTGTGCCATGTACAAAGTTTTGTTTTTTCTATAGTCAAATCTATCAATTTTTACAAATTAGCTACTGGGCAGATCTTCCTTCCAAGCCCTATTCTGAACCTGAATAGTTCCCTACTCTCTTCTTTCTCCTTTTTGTGTTTGAGATGTCAGGAGGGAAGAGAAAAACCAACATAGCTCTTTTTAAAGAAGAGGAATGGAGTAACACATGAGAAAGGTCTTTAAGATTAGTTTTTCCTAATCTTTTTTGTAAAATAAGAGCCCTCCAAAAACCCATGCAAATCCCTCACTACTTCACTCACTCTGACCTAAGCCAAATGCATACGTGGCCAAATCAGAGCCATCTGCACTGACTTTCCACAGGCAATATCCATTTCCCTTGGGAATGTCAGACACAGCATCTTTCACAGATTCCCTCCTTGGTTCCTACTCCTTGTCTGTGCTCTAGTAGTGAATCAGGAAAGACAGTGATTGAAATAGCTTATGGAAGCATCAAATACCAGTTTTTCTGACTTTGACAGTTTCAAGAGTTGTCGCTAACTTTTTCTCAAGCTGAAACCTAGTGGTTTTACCTTAGTTTCTTTGCTGTGGCACTCAATCAGTTTCAGTCCTCTGTCAGATATATAGCACTCATACATATTTAAATATTCCAAAGTATTGTCCTGATTCCTATTTCAACGCATGTCCCCGCTGAGCTGACCTAAGCATTCCACTCTATTGACTTGTGTGTATGAGAGAAACTATGGATTATTTTTTATGTTTTCTTTTCAGTTATTGCAATAAAATAGCAAGGGCATGATTTTATTTTCCATGCTGTGAATGGCCTATAAAACACTGAGCACTGAACTTAATACATGTAACAAAGCAATGGTGAAGATGCAATTGAAAGAGAAGGCAGAGAAGTTCAGAGACCCAACTGAACTTCTGAGAATAGTATTTCAGACTTGGAAGTAGAAGACCAAAGTTTATTTGCTTGCTTCCATTTCTTGATCATTAATTACAGTTATTCAATTAATAATTCAGTGTCCTGAACTATTTTGATAACTTCTCATTAAAAGTATCAAAGCTGATAATTAAGGAATGAGTCAGAGACCTCATCCACAGAGAGCAAGGGCCCAAATGAACAACATAAAAGATGCATTATTTTACATTCCTAACATGTAAGTGGGCTATGAATATTGATAGTACCAAATAGGAGAGATAAAAGTATGAGCTTGCAGAACCCTGCTTTCTTCATAGCCAAAAATCAATACTACAAAGACGCCCAACATGCTTCAGTAACTGTTCATCAATTATTTACTGGGCTCTTTTGTTCTAAGTTTCTGTTTACAAGATTACTTTGTAATTTAAAATGATTGTTTCCCTTAATATGGCTGCTGAATGGGGCTTGAGTTTTTTTACAAGATGAACCTGAAAGAGTGTGTGTGTGTGTATGTGTGTGTCATCTGTCATCTCATGTTTCAGATTAAATTGGGATAACCCGTGTTCTGCATCTTTCTTTCCAGTGGTGCTCTGATGTCCACCAGATAGGTATTACAGGCCAAGGCACTTACTTGTCCATGAAGAAAGCACATGGGTTTTCAACATTCTGCCAAATTGACAGCTAAGGGCAACAGGAAGCAATGCTTCTTGAGTGTTTGAGTTTGTCCTTTCTTTACTTTCTCAAATTTCTCACTGACTTGGAAACAAGGAAAAAACATGAAAAGATCTAGTCTTACCTGTTCGCAATTTTCTATCAGCAGCATGCACTTAAACCATAAGCCCCAGTTTTCAGGCAAGGTTTTTTGGTTTTTCTTTTGGCATGAAATGACTAGTTGGACTACAAGTTATTTATAAATGATACACAACTTTATTAAGAGCTGATTACAGTCCCATGGGCATTTGTAAATTTAACCAACTGTGGATCAAAAATACTTGGGGGGAAAAAAGGTTGGTTGTGTCTATACTGAACACGTACAAACCTTTTTTCCTGTCATTATTCCCAAAATACAGTATGATGACTATTTATATAGGATGTGCATTGTATTAGTATTATAAGTAACCTAGGGATGACTTAAAGTTTATGGGAGGATGTGCGTAGGTTATATGCAGATACTACGCCAGTTTGTTCAGGCTGGACTGCTTCACTAAATGGCAAAGTTAGTCAACAGACTAGCACTGGATTTATCCTTGGTCAGTGGGTCCCTAATAGTGCACGAAGAATTTTGTGCAGAAGCATTTTCCAGTTTATCTGTGAAATAGGCATTTTTGGTATGGTGTTTCCATTGCCATTTTCAGGAGTCAATGCTCAACCTTGTATACACACCAACAAGTTCTTGCAAAAATTCAAATGCAAGAAGCTGGCCAAGTAGAGATGGTGGTGGATGAAGGAGTATATAGAGACCCATAAAAGGGGCAGCTTCTCTGCATCCAGTAGTGTTGATGTGAGAGAACATAGGCTGTTCAATGTTGCCACATGGGCTTGTTTAAGCAACCCTGGAAATCCACATAACATATGCTAGATTGCATCTGCTCTTGTAATCAAGTGCAGGCTTAGCTGTTCACCACTTATGAAACCAATAACAAGGATGAAGTGTAGTGAAAGGAAAATGATTCTATTTCCAGAGCTAGCTGTGGGGAAACAGCCAGCTCACCCTTTCCAGAACCACTTCAAACTTTTGGCTGGGGAGAAGGGATTAAAGAGGGAACTTGGAATGGGAGGCATGGGGGAATGGTGCTGAATACAAGGTCCACATGTCTTCTTCTGGTGGCTATCTCGAACTATTGTCTACCAGGAGCACGGACGGCTGTCATCTTAAAATGGCTGGGGTGTGGACTAACCACCTTGAGGTAATTTCTGGAATTTTGCAGCTGGGTCTCCATTCTTGGTCTCCATTCTTGGTCTGTCTCAACATTAGCCCCTGGAACTTCTAAGTAAGCATATAATTAGATAAAAGCATACAGTTAGATAAATGTGCATGGGGGAAAGGAGTACATAGTGTAAAAGGAAGGGAATGGAGTTTCAAAGTATGTTTGAGGCTCTATTTTAAGACTAAGGAAAAGTTTCTACAGTTGTTTTGAGGTTACATCTTGAGACTTGGAAGAAAGGAGGGAAAAAAAGTTTAAAAGTGCATTTTCAAGCTTGACTGCTCAGTTACACTATCAGGTAGCCTCTGGCATGAGGAGAGGGGCAAGTGATCTGCCAATGAGCACAGTGGTATATGTAACTTATAGTCAGCTTATAGTCCAAGACAAAATACAGAGCAGTTCAATATTTTTAATATTGTTCCTGGCCAGGTTTCCTTTAAATAAATTCTTTAAAATACAAATATTCTTTTAAACGCAAGCAGAAATTCAGTTATGATTATTTTACCCATTTTTTAAAAATGGGTAGCAACATGATATTCTTCATCAGTCTGTTGACATTGGGATAGTAGCAAAGACTGCAGGTGCTGGATGCAAACAGAATCTGGCTATAGATTTAAGGCTAGCCCATCACCTGGACACCTAGAATACAGAATAGTATTTTAAAAGTACTCTCAAAGAAAAATCTAGAATTTTCTGTATCTCATCATGACTCTCATTGTATAATTTCCAGTAATAACTCCCTGTGTGATTTTGGGTTGGTCTAATATCTTGTAGGTCTTAAATTCTCCTCTATGAAATGGAAATACTCATAAATATCTCCCAAATTGAGTAGAAAAATAGGTTTATAGAGGGACAGAGAATTTTGCCAATAACTCTGAACAGCCTTGTAGAGGCTCCTTAAATGTAACTTATTAACAGAGTTTCACCTTTCCAATGTGGAAATGAAGGCAAAGTGGTATATGGTTTGGAGCAGCACATCCAGACATGAGGGAGAGAGAGAAAAATCTAGGTAGTTACTGTTCCTTTATAGAGACTTTGGCTGTGTCCACACAGATACATGCAGCAAAGGTTTCTCAGGTGTTGAGACTACATGTGCCAGTCAGAGTCCTAACATGCTGTGACCAACAGCCTCAAAACTGTCCTGGTATGTTTGTTTTAAATTCTGTAAAAATACCAAAAATTCTCTTACCTATTTCCCTACAGGAAAGGAATGAGAATGATAACATTAAAATGCTTCTCAAAGCAAGCCCCATTTCAGGCCTTACTTTTGAAGTAAAAAGTACACTTTGAAACAACAATGGATAAAATGGCAGCTTTGAGGCCTGCCATTTTCCCAAATGGATCACTGATTCCCTGGAAGTGGTTTACTCACCAGAGATGTACCTAAAGGTGAAGTACTGTCATAGTTACTTAATCTTATTTGGGGTACGAGATCAGACGTATGGGCTAAAAAATTAAGTCACTGTTTCATGTATCACAAAATTTATATATATATATATATATATATTTAACTCAATACTAAAGGGAGCAAAGTATGCATAAAACATCATGAGTGTACCTAAGCTTAATGCTACATAGGTTTGGGAGAAGAAACGAAGCCACCTAAATGTATGTGCCAACTTTGCGATATAGTTCACATCCCCAAAGTTGTGTTATTTTTAAAAGGAGTTTTTCATGTTTAAAATCTGCAAGCCTAGGTAGGATGTTAACACAAAGTCTTAAGGCATATAATAATCACAAAAACATGTATGCCATCAGCAGGATGAATTTTTTTTACTTATTCATACAATCATAACAAATGTAGTAAGCATCTAGTCAAATTCAAAAATTTAGCCAACAAATCTTTCCATTCCTTCTGCAAGAATAAAATCAAATAACCATTATGCTATAAACAACATTAAAGTATTGATTTATTTTCCCCCCATAAATATGAAAGGACAGGGATAATTAACTTGGTGCACAAACTATGTTTTTGGTATTTCTTAATATATAAAATTCATCCCATATTTTTACAGTAGTATGTACCTTATACATTTAAAATCTGGGTCAGTCATTCTTCATCTGTTTCATACGTTTCCACGTGACAGCATCTGAGAATATGTGGAGACATGTCTGCTGCAAAATCATTAAGCCAATCAGGACTCAGATTTTAAAGAAATAAGAAATAACACAGAAATAGGGAAAGAGCCAAGTTAAGAAGAACTCATTTACAGTCTAAAAATTCAGCACTGAAAGACTCCTGTCTAGGAGTTAAAATATTTTCATATAATTGGCATAAACTTGATCTAAGAAATTTGAGATTTGTTTATATTTTAAATGATTTACCTACATGACTACACAAAAGCCATAAAAATTCCAACAAGTTTTATAAATATGTTCTGATAGAGCTTTGGTTATAAAATATTGGAATTGATATGCTTCCTTAGCACTCAGTAAAATGGTACATTGAAGTTAAAACGCTCTCATTTTTCTCTCTGCTAACTGGACAATGGAAAGTAAAAATACAATGACACACAATAATCCAACTACGTCCTTCTATTCTTCAAGGATTATAAAATAAATGTTCGTTACCAGTTAACCAGTTGATCTCTAGCAGTAATTTTCTTCACCAGTTAATCTACATATGCAAATATGTTTTGCCAAAATCTTTTTAGACCCCTTTAAAACCACTTTAATACAAAGGCAAAAGGAAAAGTTCAAAAGAGGAACAGAATGAGGACCCTTTGAAACATACATCTAAGTTCTTTTGTAAAGGCAGAAAGAAAGTGAAGAATGAACATGCCCTTAGTGGTGATCTATTTTGAAGACTCTGATTTGCTCTTCTCGGATGTTGGAGGTATGCTCCTTGGGAATCCAGATAGGATGTCAAATGTGTGGTGGCTTGTGGTTATAATTCGATGAAATAAATATCACGAAGCAGAGAGGGCTGGGCCAGTTAAGTGAATGCCACCTCTCACAGCTCTCATATACAAATATGAAGTTGCTGAAATCCTAGACAATTTTCTGCAAAGGGGCCAGGATGGGAATCCAAGCAAAAGTGCTCCGCATCCTGCTGCCCCTCCAGGATTGAAGCACACCTCTCTCTTCGCTACCGCGTTACCTAAAACAAATCAAATAAGGGAGCATTCAACAATCCATGCCCACCAAAATAACCATTCCTGCCCCCTAGACCAATAAGGTCCTGACTGCGAATAGTTTATCAGTTTGTACATTTACCTATAACCGACCTCACCAAATCAACTGTTCAAATTCTGCTTTGCAGCCTAAAAGCAAGAAATATAAAGAATACATGCACAAAGACTTCCAAAAGCGGGTATTATGCAGTCTGGCTTTGTATTTGTGAGGTTATAAAAATCCCATCTGATTAGGTACACTCATCGCCCATCAATTCATGCATGCTGAGCATACTTTGTTAATGGCACTAAAAATTTTTCAAATGGTTGATTAAAATCAGTGCATGTCAAGATAAAAATGTTGCCTTTATTTTTTTTTATGCAGTTAACTTTCACTTTTGAAAATAGGTTATTTTATAAAACTGTTGTATTATCCATTAAAAAGTAGTGGTTGTATTTTTCATTTTTAAACATCCAGGCTCATTGCTTATGATCTAAGAAAATAGAACAGCAGTTTCTATAGTTGATTGGTCATATAAGAAATTTTATGTGTTAGCCAATATACCAGTTCAGGTGGGAAAAAAAAAAGCATAAGACTTTAACATGCCTACACCACAAAAATATTTTTTCAAAGCAAATTATTTGATAGTACACTCACTATACCTGGGCTTTAGACCCAATCAGCTATGTATGCAAACCTCAGCCTTGCTATTAACTGACATATGGCCTTTATGTATTCAACAATATTACTCCCCTTTTGTTTGTACTGGGTAACTACAGCAAACTAAACAAAACCCTGCCCTCATGGAGCTTACCTTCTAGGGCAGGGGCTGGAAAACTTTTACTGGAAAGGACTACATACGGTAAATATTTTCAGCTTTGCCGGCCATACAGTCACTATAGCAACTTCTTAACTCTGCCTTTATTTCATTCACAAAAGTAGCCATAGACAATAAATAAATGAATGAATGGGCATTGCTTTGTTCCAGACTTTATGTATAGATGGTGAAATCTGAATTTCATATAATCTTCATGCATTCTGAAATATTCTGCTTTTGATTTTTTCCAACTACTTAAAAATGTAAAACCCAGTCTTAGCTCATGGGCCATACAAAAGCAGGCCAAGGGCTGGATTTGGCCTGTAAGCCACAGTTTGCTGATCTCTATTCCAGAGGAAGAGGTTGGGCAAACAGGTAAAATTAATAATATAGGCTATGGAGAAAAGTAAGGTAGTGTAATAGAGGAAAGAAAGGCTGGTGAAGGGAAGGTAGAGGGCTGCTCTTCTATACAGGATGTCAAGGAAGGTTGAAGGAAGTGAGGGAGGCCTGACTCACTGGGAAGAGAGGAAGAGGTAAATGCAAGGACTTTGGCCTTTTTCTGAGGTTCAAGGAAGAGAGATGAGAAATGCATGGCAAGACTGAACTGTCAAAGAGTTGTGACAAATAGGACAAAGATGTAAGAAAAAGAGGAATCAAGGACAATTCCAAGATCTTTGGCTTGAGTGACTGAATGATGGAGTTGGCCATGTTCTGTGATGGGGTAGATTGTCTCTCTTTGCCTTAATTTCTTCATCTGCAAAATAAAGATAATAGTACCTGGCCCCTACAGTTGTAGTAAAGAGTGAATAAAATACGTGACTTGAATGACACAGCCCAGTGGTTGACACACGGTTTGTACTCAGGGAATGGTGGCTATTGTGATGTTAGCTCTTTCTGGATCTATCAATGTACATCCAGGATGTAATTGTCAAAGGCAACTTATTCCCCATGCCCAGCTCATTTTGGACAACTTCACTGAAGTTGGATGATAAAATGCTCTCAGATTTATTTTCCTTTAAAATTATTATTGTACTGATTACATGTGGAAGATTCATTGCTACTTCTGAATTTTGATGGATACAGGGCTACTAAGATGCCAATATTAGCTCTTACTCCCATTCCTCAGGGTACCCTGAGCATTACAAGTCTGACTATAGAGATCAGGGAAGACAAAACTTCAGGGTAAAGGAGTCATCTGAGCTGGACATTAAAAGACAAGTGCAATTTTAGAAGAGGAAGTGAAAAAAGGAGGCAGCAATGGTATGGGGAAGTACATGGCCTGTACAATGATTGGCAGTGAAGGCCCATTTAAGATGCTTATAATCTGTATTTTGCATCAGTTTCCAAGGGGGATCCATTGATGATCTCTCAACAGGGAGGGAACCTGGGCAGGGAGTTTACCCTTGATGCAGAGAAAGCAAGGTATAAGTCAATTAAGGGTGAGAACAGGTAGAGAGCTCAGTTAGACTAATGGTTCCCTCATACTGCCTGTTCATCACACTCACCCTAAGAACAACTGTTTTAAAAGCATGGTTTTCTAAGCCCTATCCTAGACTTTTACTATACCAGAATATCCTAGAGTTAGAGTTCAAAACTGTGCTTTTTACACGTTCCCATGATAGCATTAAATTATTATTATATTGACAATGACCCATGGTGATGGCCCAAGAGACAGGTAGATTAGAGAGCCATTTGAGGAAGATACTGAAGACAAAACTGTTGCTTCCATTCTGTAGAAATTTTCCAATATGAAATATTGGAAATATTTAGACAATAGAAGCTTTGAAAAATGAAGTAAAAGAATCAAGTAGGAAGTCTGCAAAGAGCTACTGAAAAAAATATACTGTTCTCCAAAGCAGTTTTTCAACCTTCATACTATTGACATTTGGGGTCAAATAATTGTTGTAGAGGTTGTCTGTGCTTTGTAGGATGTTTAGTAGCATCCCTGGCCTCTACCCACAAGATGCCAGTAGAATCCTCACAATGTGTGATGACCAGAAATATCCAAGACATTGCCAAATGTCTACTCAGGGGCAAAACTGCCTCTGGATGAGAACTACTACTATAAAGACATAGCTTTTCACCCTTAGTAGAGGATTCAAAAATAAGAACATTAAAAAGTCTAAAATGTTTCAAGATTCAAAGTGATTTGCTTCTGCTCACAAACAAGATATGGCAAATGCTTGGCTTCGATGCTAAGAAGACATTATACCCTTGTTAGAAGGCTTAACAATGGCAACCCCAGAGAGTGAAAAACTCCTTAGCGCAGAGAATGCAGCAAAACCCAGATTTCAATTAAGGCAGGTCCATAGAGAGGGTCATATTTTCCCATAAGAAGCAGTAGCAGAAGCAGTAGCTCTAGAGACGCTGAAAACTATGTCGGCAGAGTAAACTCAATGCCAGTATTTTATACCTGGAAAAGATGACTAGTTAGGGAATTATCCTCTCTCTTTTCATATCTTCATCTAAAGCTATTAGTATTCAAGTTAACTGCCAACTATTTTCATATTTGCATTTAAATGGAAAATAAAATTCTGACATAGCTGGCTTACTGGAGGCCATCTTACTTTAGCCTTTCTGTGTTTTGATGCTGCTGTGCATGAACTGTTTAAAGAAAATGGAAACTATTTTGTTATATAGTTTAGTTAACACATCCTCTAGGGAGACAATTGCTCTGCTTTTCTAGGACCTCTGTCTTACCTGTGGTGTAAGGTCAGTAACAATTTTAAGAAAAAGATACAACTGGAAGCTAGTCACAGATCCACAAATGAATTTACTCTATGTGCATAAGATCCATAAAAGACATAAAATGTTTTATGCAGTTCAAGTCACACTGACTTGGATTAATAAAGGAAACAAAGTTTTATGACTTCAAGATTATTCTCAAGTGACATATCACTAAAAAAGCAGCCCAAGTATCATGATGGCTTGGGGAACTGTATTATCTGTCTACAACTTTTCAAAGTGCTAAATGAAATGTCACTACCATTGAGGATTTAGCTAGAGCAAACTTACATTCCCAGCACTGAGCCAAAATGTCCCTAAAGGTTTGCTTCCTGCAAATGCCTTCTCTAACTACACATAAATAGAGAGCCGTTCTACCAAGAGAACTACCGTTGGCTTCTGCTCATGATCTTGTTTTATATTTATATATAAAAATCAATACAAATAGAATCTTCCAAAATGTTATTCCTTAGCCTACAAGAAATATGATGAAAGAAAATTTTTATCACTGATGGATGTAATACCCTAATTCATGGGTTACTCCAAGATTTTTACTTAGGAAGGAATTAGGAAAAAATAGCTGAAACGGCCCAAGGGAAAGATAAGGAAATTATCTTAAGGCAGGGTTTGCTTAGCAAGCATGCTGGGTCTATATAGGATGGAAGTTTATTGGGAATGGCTTAGAACGATACGAGTGTTGACCTCCTTGCACCACCAGTAAATGACTCCATGGACTTCTGCTGCCCTGGATACAAAAGCAGATATCAGGTCATTACCCCAGTCATCTCAATATCAGTAACAAGGGTAAGTTAGTTGACAATTGCAATTAATGTTGAAAATGGTCTTCATTTTGACATTCTGGTTTTACCTAGAGAATCAACTGACAACTATTCCATTGATAATCTGGGGTATAATATCAGCTAAAGTTCCCATTTAAAATGTTTTGTACAATCATATTTTCTAATATTTTGTTTTAGACTTACTATCTTTATGTTTTAATATATTTTACAAAATCTTAATATAATAGTTCATGTTCACACTTAGAAGAACTGGCCTGCTTTTGACCTCCATGGCTGAAGATGAATTACTAAGCACTTAGAGTGCTCAAAGTATTCATAAAGGGGACGACATAAGAAAGGCAAGAAACCATTCACTGTATGTATTTCCTAAGGGATCAAAGTTCAATAGCAATGATAACCAGAGTCACTCCATTCCAGTATGTCTAACTCTAATGATCTTAGAATGACCTTGGTCATGTCAATTTTCATTCAAGAAATAGTTACCAAGGCATTCAGCTGGCTCTGGGACTGCCAGGGCCCAACATCAAAGCTCTCCCACCAGACAGGAAGTTCTAGGTATTAAGCAAAATATGGATAGCAATCTATGTAAAATGTAACCATAATAAATGCTGAAAGATACAGGGAGCATGCATTCAATCAGGAAAGAGGTCCCTGAAAAAATGATGATTAACCAGAAAAGGATGGAAACAGCCAGTGCAAAAGGACCAGGGTAAGAGGGACTGACAAAAGGCCAGGATGTTTAGAGCAGCAAGAAGGAAGCGGAGATGGCTTAGCCATGTTACTCATTAAAGACCAGGCAGAGGCTAGTGGACCAATTACCAGAGGGTGCCAGTGGAATATTTTGAGGTGGATTAGCTTAGAGGATGTGCATTTTACAAAATTACTGATTAGTCACTGTGTAGGGACCAGATTGGAAGGCAGCAATCTAGCAGTCTAGATGCATCTCCATATGAGATGGCCGATTGGACAAGAGGAGTAAGCACAGTGTTGAAGAATCATGGAAAAGTTGGGTAGTAAAAATCCTAAGGACAATGTAATCAACTGATCATGGGAAGATAAGGAAGAAGGTAGGTTTCTGGCTGGAGAACTGGGTAGACAATGGTGTTCTTCAGTGACAGTGAGAATTAAAAAGAGGACCATTTGGGGAGAAAAGTGTTGGCTTCTAAGTCTTGAATAAGAATCTCCAACCATTAAATCTCCTTTAAAGCAATAGGTATTTCTACTTGAGTAAATCATCTGGATGTGGATTCTTGCCATAGTGTTTTGATACACTGGCCTGTCAGCTCTGAAACTTTTACTTTAAATCGGGCTTGTGAAGAAGCTGAAATGAATTTAGGGGCCCTGCCTAAAATAATGAATTCTCCCACCAAATGACTGCTCTATAAAATCTGACACACAGAATGATGCTGGGAAATGCACTTTTCAAAAAGGCCAAAGCCCTAAGGTAGCACTGCCCAAGCAGGTTTGTCAACACATAATATTTTCTTGATGGCAGAATAAAATCAAGGGGAGGAAGCCCCATAGCTGATAAATTGTAAATTGTAGTTGATAAATTGATAAATTGTAAAATTGCATTTTGTCTATACTTGCCTTCGTAGTTTTGACTTTATTGCCACTGCTACAGGACCAACCTGAGTAATCTGGCAGCACTTTACAATCCTCTCCTTCCAAACATGGATTCATGTGACACCACCATTTCTGAATCACAATGGAAGCTGGAAAACAAAGGCCAAATAATATTTGTGACACTGTTTCTTCCTCCAAAGATGGACAAAATAAAACTCAATACAGAGTAGTACACTGAGTTCAAAGATTGCTATTAAATTTACTGTTAGTAAATTTAAGGAATCTCATCAGGCATATACTCTACAAAATATTTCTTTTTTATTAAAAAATTTAAAAGCAACAGATGGTGACAACACAGAGAAAATGGAATGCTTATACACTGTTGGTGTGAAGGCAAATTAGTACAACCTCTATGGGAAACAGTATGGACATTTCTCAAATAACTAAAAATCAAACAACCATTCAATCCAGCAATCCCACCCCTGGCTATCTGCCCAAAGGAAAAGAGACTGTTATATCAAAAAGACACCTGCACTCATATGTTTATCGCAGCACTAGTAATAAATAGCAAAGTCATGGAATCAACATGTGTCTATCAGTGGAAGACTGGATAAAGAAAATGTGGTATAGATACGCTATCAAATACTACTCAGCCACAGAAGAGAATGAAATCCTGTCTTTTACAGCAACACGGATGGAACCGGAGGTTATTATCTTAAGTGAAATAACCCAGAAACAAAGTCAAAGTCAAAAGTCAGTCATTTTCTCACTTATAAACAAGAGCTGAATAATGTGTACACAGAGACATAGTCATGGAACAACAAATTGGAGACTTGGAAGGGTGGGAAGGATGAGAAGTTACTTAAGGGGTACAAGGTACACTATTTGGGTGATGGCTACACTAAAAGCCCAGACTTCACCACTATGTACCCTTAAGTTTATACAAATAAAAAATAGATCACTTTTGCAGTGGACTGCCCAACTGTAAAATAGAGCTGGTGAGATCTCAGGCTTTGTGGTAGGCTTGCCTGGGTTTGAATCTGACTGTGCCATCCTCTAGATTAGACTAGTTCTCAGACTTCTCTGTCAGTTTTTTCATTTGAAAAGTAGATCCTCACCCTAGGATATTAAGAGGATAAAGTTAATCCATGTGTGAAAGTCTTTGCTGACTTTGAGCCAGTCACAATAGTCTTAGAAAATGTTAGCTGTTATTATGGTCATCATCTTTGATTGCAGGTTACAATGGTATTGCAACTGGTTCTTATGTTTGATGGTCTCTGTTAATAGCAAAAACTAAAAGCACTAAAAATTTCCATCATACATGGTGTTCATCTCTCCATGCCATTCTAGTGAGTGGCCAGCAACCACTTAAAGTCAATTACAAAAAGCCATGGGAAAGTTGGAGGACATGGCATTCCTTCACCTTTTCATATGGCTGTTGGTCATTTGTATGTCTTCCTTGGAAAAATATCAATTCAGTTCTTTTTCCTACTTTTTAATTAGGGTATTAATTTTTGGCAATTGAGCAGGTGGGTTTCTTTTATATTTTGGATCTTAACTCCTTATCAGATATATGACTTGCAAGTATTTTCTCCCATTCTGTACGTTGCTTTTCCATTTGATGTAGTCCCAATTGTTTATTTTTGCTTTTGTTGCCTGTACTTTTGGTGTCATAACCAAAATATCATTGCAAAGACCAATATCAAGGACCTTTTATCCTATGCTTTCTTCTAGAAGTTTCATAGTTTCATTTCATAGATTACATCCTTTTCAAGTTAACTTTTCTGTATGGTTTAAGTCGCAGGTCTAACTTCATTCTTTTGCATGGGAATGTCTAATTTTCTTCCTAGTACCCTTTATTGAAGAGACTATCTTTTCCCCATTGTGTAGTCTTGTCATCCTGTCAAAGACTAGTTGACTATAAATGCATGGATTTATTTCTGAGTTGTCTATTCTGTTCCATGGGTCTATGCGTCTATTTTTATACCAGTGCCATACTGTTTTGATAACTATAGCTTTGTAATATAATTTGAATCGGGGCTGTGTGCCTCCAACTCTGTTTTTCTTTTTCAAAACTGCATTAGCTACTTGGGGTCTTTTGTGGTTCTATATGAATTTTAGGACTGCTTTTCTCTCTTTGTGGAAAATTATGTTGGAATTTTGTTAGGGATTGTATCCGTAGATTGCTTTGGAGAGTATAGACATTTTAACAATATTTCTCCAATCTATGAACACAGGATATTGTTCCATTTCTTTCATTAATGTCTTACAGTTTTTAGTGTACAGATTTTTTTACCTCCTTGGTTAAATTGATTCTTAAGTATTTTATTCTTTTTGATGCTATTATAAAAATAGGATCATTTCCTTAATTTCTTGGATAGTTCATTGTTAGCAAAATGCAACTGAGTTTTGGATGTTGATTTTGTATTCTGCAGCTTTACTGAATTTATTTGTACCTGGTATTTAAAGAAGAACTAGGCTGTGCGCAGTGGCTCATGCCAGTAATCCCAGCACTTTGGGAGGCCGAGGCAGGTAGATCATGAAGTCAGGAGATCAAGACCATCCTGGCTAATAAGGTGAAACCCCATCTCTACTAAAAACACAAAAATTAGCTGGGAGTGGTGGCTTGCGCCTGTAGTCCCAGCTACTTGGGAGGCTGAGGCAGGAGAATGGTGTGAACCTGGGAGGTGGAGCTTGCAGTGAGCCAAGAACACACCACTGCACTCCAGCCTGGGCAACAGAGCTAGACTATCTTAAAAAAAAAAGAACTAACACTCCACTTTCTTTTCCAAAGAATCAAAGAAGAGAGAACACTTCCAAACTCATTTAACAAGGCCCAGCATTACCTTCATACCAAAGCCAGACTAGGACACTAGAAGAAAAGAAAATTCTAGGCCAATATCCTTGATAAACATAGATAAAAAATCCTCAACAAAACACTAGCAAACTGAACTGAACAGCACATTAAGAGGATCCTCCACTATGATCAAGTAGGGTTTATCCTTGGGCTGCATGAATGATTAAATGTAAGTAAATCAATAAATGTGACACACCACATTAACAGAATGAAGGATAAAAATCATCTGGTCATCTCCTGCAGAAAAATCATTTGACAAAATTCAACATCCCTTTATGATAAAACTCTTAACAAAGATAATTTTGTACTGAAGGAATGTACTTCAACATAATAAAGGCCATATATGACAAGACATGGATATCTACGCTCACCAATAGAATACCAAAAGTCTTAGAGCAAGCAGGCAAGAAAAAAATATAAAAGGCACTTAAATTAGGAAGAAGTTAAATTGTCTCTGCAGACAACGTGGTCATAATTATATATAGGAAGCCCTGAAGACTTTCCTGATAGATTTGACTCAAACTAGGCTGCCTGTGAAGTCAGAAACTCAAGTTCAAAGTTTTACAAATCCTAATAGCTACTTTTTATTGAGGGCCAGGCACCCTGCTAATTTCCTTCCTGTATTTTCTAATTTAAATGTCACTACAAACCTGATGTTAAAAGACTACACATTAGGTACAGTGTATACTGCTCAGGTGAGGGGTGCACTAATATCTCAAATTACCACTAAAGAACTTACCTATGTAATAGAAGACCACTTGTTCCCCAAAAACTGTTGAAATAAATATTTTCCTGTACTTCATAGAAATGAAAAAATTGAGGTCCAGGGGCATTAAGTGACTAGAGCAAGGTCACACAGTCTGAAAACAGTCAAACAAGCACTTGAAAAGAGGCAGTCTAATGCTAGAGCCCAAGTGCTAACACTTATATTCATACCTCCCTCCTTCCCTCACACATCTACTAGAAACAAATCCTTGTATGGAAGGAGGCAAGCCAGTACAGTTTCCCAAACACTATGTGGCATGATGAAAGCACAGGACAATTTCATTATTCATTGAATGGGCCAGACATTGTAGAATCTTCTCCATAAGTGGCCACATTGTCCCTGATTCTGGCCAAATATACTGAACTACTATCTAGTGATATCCATCAAAACAAATAGTACCTAAGTCAGGTGGATTTGTGATCTCGAGTAACCACTTGCTATTTAAATCAGGCATTGCCAACAGCAAGAAAGGAATCTAGCCAAATTGGTTCTTTATTGTGCCAGAGATTGCCATGAAACTGGGATGGATGTACATAGCAGGTAAAGCCTAATAAAGTTATATTCTTGGCCAGGCATGATGCCTCACACCTGTAATCCTAGCACTTTGGAAGGCCTAGGCGGGCAGATCACTTGAGGTCAAGAGTTTGAGACCAGCCTGGCCAAAGTGGTAAAACCCCGCCTCTACTAAAAATTTAAAATTCACTGGGCATGGTGGCGTACACCTGTAGTTCCAGTTACTCAGGAGGCTGAGGCCGAAGAATCACTTGAGCCTGGGAGGCGGAGGTTGCGGTGAGTCAAGATTGCGCCACTGTACTCCAGCCTGGGTGACAGAGCAAGACTCTGTCTCAAAAAAAAAAAAAAAGTTATATTCTTTGCAGCCTCAAATATCATAACAGTTTCCCCTTGCAACTTCATGGAGCTGTGTCACTTTCAAAGCACTTTTACTTACTGTTCCTCTTTTGATTGTCCCAACAACCTTCAGAAACCAGAAAAGGGAGCCAGATAGTGCCACAAATAAAACTCTGAGGGGCTTCCCTCAGAGTTAGTAAAGGGGTGGAGGGTGGTACTAGAATCTAGAATTTCTTCTTCCTTATCCAGTAGTCTTTCTACTGTATCACAATTTACAATCATATTTTAGATTAGGAAGTACTACACAGAGTTTTACTATACTCACAGTGTTGACCATTCATTCTTGTCTGAACACCATGGATTGGTTCCAAGTGGATATAAAAATAAATAAGAGATGGTCCCCAGCCCTCAATTTAAAATACCATCTGCAGGACTAGAAAAGTTACATAAATGTTGACAGAGCTTAGTTGTATTTACATAGAATTAGAGCTGAATTTAAAATACTTTGTCTTCAAAACTCTTCCTTAGACTAACTTTCTTCCACTCAGGAGTGAGAACCCATGTACTCTGGAAAGGTATCAGAGCTTCATGAAAGATTCAAAAGCAGTCTTGACAGGTGGCCAGAGGTCCACAACTGAAGACACGAGCAACAGTGATGGTTCCACCTGGAAGCCAGC